TTAGTGGAAGGCAAGCTGCAAAGAGTTTAGATATATGTATAGGAAATGCTGCACTCATCCTTTTACAAATAACCTACTCCTGAAATAACTGCATTCATTCATGTATTATGGTTTAGATCTTGAATGTCCCACAAAGGCTCATGTGTGGAAGGCTTGGTCTCTAATGCTTCAGATGTGAGGTCTTGGGAAAGTGATTGGATTAATCCATTGACAAATTTATAATCTGAATGGACTCTTGGGAGGTGGTGGAAGTGGTAGGAGGGGAGACCTATTTGGAGGGAGTGGATCCTTAGAGACAATATTTTGTCCCCGGCCCCTCTCTTCTCTCTGTGCTTCCTGGCTGCCATGAACTTAGCAGCTTTCCTCTGCAACCTTTCCACTAAGATGTTCTAGCTCACCTCATGCCCATAGGAATGGAGCTGGGTAATCACAGACTAAAACTTCTGAAGCCATAAGCAACAAGTGGGCAGAGTCCTCATGACCTAATCAATGTTTCAAGGTCCCACTTACAGAAGCACTATTACATGAGTGATCTAATTCCCAACGTATAAAATCAGTTCTGGTTGGGGGGGGGGCATTCAAAGCATATCAAAGCCCATCTGTGAATCAGACCCAAGGCTGGGTCTGTAGAACATCAGTTATCGTCAGTGCTCCTCTTTCCATATAGCTGATTGTCCTGAGGCCACTTTTGGTTCTACCCAACTATATATCTACAGCGTTGTGATGCTGTTCCTTCTCCCTGACTGGAGCATGATGCACCAGTCAGCCTGGTTGTTTATCTCTTATGTTTTCAATTCAGCTCAGGCGTGAGTCCTGTGAAGCTACTCTTGACTTTCCAGGCAGAACAGCCCTTTCCTTCTCTTTACTTCCTCTGGACTTTATGCAGATAGAATTGCTGGGATCTGTAAGGCACTATCTGATCTGCACACTTCACCCTCCAGGGTCTTTGGATTTTCTGCAACCTCTCTCTGAGTCACTTTTCTGTTTGATATCTGCATGACTTTCTTTCCTCCTTGGGCCTTTTTTTTCAAACTACCTTCTTAGTGATCACCCTTCTGTGATTGTCTTATTTAGTTGCAACCTTCCCCACTGACATACTTCCCATCCCCCTGCCCTGCTTTATTTATTTTCTTCTGATCACTTATCATCATATAACAAAGAATGTTAAAAATTCATTTTTAAAATTCTATATCTTTTACCACATGATATAAACCCATAAACTGCAATGTTTTTATTTGTTATATTGACTGTTAGAGACCCCACTCTCAGAATAATCCCTGATACACAAGTTACTAAATATATGTCAAATGACTAAATAAAGGACAATTTTGCCTTTCTCATATTTGGCATTGTTGACATTTGGGGCTGCGTTCTCTGTGTGAGGTAGTTCTGTGTATCAGGATGTTGAGTAGCATCCTTGGTTCCTACTCACCAGTGGCATTCCCTCAGTTGTGAGCCACTAAAATTATCTGCATGCATTGCTAAATGTCCCTCTGGGTGAGGTAGGAAGAAGGGGGCAGTTTCCCTTAGTGAGAACCATTGTGTTAGAATTTCAGATGAGGGAAAAGAGGGATCACTTATCATTACACTATCTAGTATCTAGTACATAGTAGATGCTTGATTTTTCTTTAAAGCTGGATTGATCTAATTTAGTTAAATGTTTTAAATATACATTTTTAAAATTTTTTTTAGTTGTAGGTGGACACAATAACTTTATTTTGTTTTTATGTGGTGCTGAAGATTGAACCCAGTGCCTTACGTGTGCCAGGTGAGCATTCTATCATTCAGCCACAGCCCTAGCCCCAAATGTTTTAAATTTTATGATAGAGATTATTACAGAACATAGCTTATGCCCAGGAAGATTTTTTTAATATTATAAATATTTTTGTTGAATATTTATTTTTCATTTTTAGATACTGTATTTATTGTCTAATTATGTATTTTATTATATCATCTGAGATTAAGAAGATGGAGAAGGATGAAGAGTTACTACCTACATGATCCTGGTTCTTAGGAACCTCACAGTCTAGTTTGAAAAGCATATCCATTAGCCAGAACAAATGCAAGTAGATCCTTACCTTGCCATTCAACCTATCCCACTGCTATCTAGTGGGTACACTGTAACAGAGATTTTGTAGAAAAACCTGGAGAGTAAATGTTTTTTACTTGGCCAGTCCATTTGGACTCTGTGGCAATTACATCTATCAAAAACAGCATTGAAAAGCACATTCATGTCAGAATATCTTTCTAGAGCTACAATCAACATCTCAATATGAAGGTTTTCATATCAATATAAAAGTATTTCTATGCCTCATTCAATCACAAAATACTATGGGCTAGAAGGATATGGGTGATGAGCAAGAATGTATGAAACAAGCAAATTTAAAATGCAGGTTTAGTGGGTTGTGAAAGCAAGTCATTGGATAATAATCACATTTTAGAAATGATATAGAATAGAGTCAATTATACTAGAACAGAACAGAATAGAAAAATATCAGAGCCCATTATACATACTGAGTTAATTTTATATTTCTGCATATTAATAAATGAATGTGAAATTTTTTATTTAATTTTTTTTCTTACTATTTTATAATAGCCAAAAATGTGATCAAACCATTATTGTTTAAGGTATCTAACAGGTGTGAAAAGTAGGTGGGGGTTGGGCAGGTGAGGAGATGGCTCACAGACCCTAAGCTGATTCTGCTTTCCTCCTTGAATTACAGCATTTCTTTCTGATATTCAGCCTTGATGTGAGGGAGAAACACTTGCTCATTCTCTTCTTTGATTCACTACCTTTCCTCAAAACAAAACCTTGACCTCAAATGTCCCTTTCTTGCACCTCTCCACCTGGCAAACATCCTACTCATTCTTTCTGGACCAACTCAAGTGCCAGCTCTGCTGGGAAGCTCTGCCCCAGTCCACCAGGAACAATTAATCATGTTCTCCCCTGTGTTCTCTCAGAGCTTTGTTCATGCTGCTACTCTAGCGTCACA